AAGAATAACTAAAGCAAAGAAACACCGAAATACTTACAGTTGCTTGTATTATTGAATTTGGCACATCTATTTGTCTAATTCACGATGAACTATTGTCACTAGAGAACATCTTTACATCCTTCTGTAAAAAAAGTATTCGTGCTTGGAGACATAACTTGTCATCAGTACAGCTTTGGTTTTTCATATGGACTTTACTGAATTCTGAACTCATTCAATACCGTCTACATTTAAGTGATTTTTTTCTTTAGGTAATTCCACCAGTACCTCACTAGTGAAATGTATAACTTTGTTAAAAAATGAGTGTCAAATTGTAATAAAACTACAAATACCCGAATAGTGCTCCATAGACAGTTATTTAGAAATTCATACCTAATTACGTTTTGTTGACTACAGTCTGTACTTGAGATCAAAAAATTGTCCACTGCACTATTCTAATTCTTACGACCAATTCCAATGTAATGTAAATATTACTGTGCATTCATCGTATGCTTCGATTAGATTATTCTATCTAAATGTTTGCCTTTTCAAGAACAACAATTTCTAATTTTTTAACGCAAACAAAAGTTAAAAGCATGATCATCGTCCTAAAAATATTATTTTATAGCCAAACTCGTGTAAACTCAAAACCAGTAAATTTTTGCCAAATGTCTACTACTATTTGAATACGACTGGTTGGTATAATATTATCCTATAACTTCAATGGTGTTCAAAGGGCCACATTTGGAAAATAGTAAATCCGTCTTGGGTGTAATAAGAATAAATTTATTGCCACAATGTTTTACGCGGGGAACAGTAAGGAAGAAAACTTGTGAAGGATCGAAAAGACTGCCACCACCTTAACTGCAGCTGCAAGTGCGATGCGATTTATGGTAATTGGATCGATAAGGGAGGGTGCGATCAGTGTTGGCAGCGCGAGTATTGAGAAAACTTATCTAAAAATATTGCACCGGATGCAATGACACTAAGAAAGTTTGCATTGGGATTTATACCATTTTGTATGCCTAAACTTTAAATGGAAATCGTTTTTGCTGAGGTACTATTCGTTATTCTATAATCTTAGTTTAAAACAACGTTTTCAAAGAGTCGATGTTTGGAAAAGACATCCAGTTTATCGTGCGAATTGTCCAACAAAAGAAAATAAATAAGTAAAAAAAACTCCGGAGATTCCGTTCATTGCACATCCTGAATAACGTCGAGTTCCACCGGATATTCGTAATGATGGAAAAAGCCTTAAACGCAGTTGGTGACGATTCCACAATGCAAACTAAAGTAGTAAAAAAACCTTTCGCTTCCTTTGCATTATTTTCCTCAAAGAACGAAAACGTTAATAAATTTATTATAATTTAATAACATAGACAATATTTAAGACTTATCCAAAATGAAAATTTGTTATTTACCACTCAGTCTTCCTTGTCAATAAAAAAATCGCCATATTTCAAAGCGTAAAGACATAACAATTGGTTTCCACAGACTTTTTTGTCACAAAAAGTATGCCAATCAGTATTTGGGACTAAAATGTAGATCCAGTTGGTCTACATCGCACAAACCACCAATATCCCTAACGACTACGAAACAATCCCTCGAGATAAGCAATCGTATCGAGTCTCCTGGGACGAATCCTTCGCGCGACAAATAAAATTTTTAATCCCAAGCTTATCGACTAAGTACACGGCGCGCAGTGGAAGCCAAGCGTGCTCTTGCCAACGGGATGTGCCAGCGCATCTATGCGAGTGTTGCAGTTGCATAATGCGTGATGTGCATGTGTTCGCGAGCGCAATGCGCCAAATCAGTTCCTGCTCCGTGCCAGGGTGAGATAGGTATACAGTGAGCGTTTGGACGCGAGCTGAAAACTTGGTGGCTTGTGGTAGATATACAGATATAGGAGCACAAAGAAAGGTTCGCACGTGTGTACGGCGATAAAGAAAACACCATATATATACAGAGAGAGGGAGATGGGAAGCGAGTCGTAGAAGTGGGAGCTTTCTTTTTTTTAGTGCCGTTGTCGCCTCTTTCTGCGCTCACGTAAAAGCTCTGTGTAAGCCCCATGGGGCTTTGTGGCCCGATGCGATAGGAACTCCCTATATTTATGCGTGTTTTGCTTCTCCTGTTTTACAGTATTTTTTGTCTCTTTGGTTTCTCAATTTCTACTTTTTTTCCCAAAAGGCTACTCGAACGGCTTCATTTCAGATAGTTAAAGCTCGGGTTAACGAGCTACAGAAAAAGTTGGGCTGCTGTTGCCATGTGCAGCTTGAAAATAGCAATTGAAATGAGGCCCAGGGTAGAAGATAGATTGGTGATAATTTGACTTTCATTTAATTAATTTTCACTCGTGTGTTTTCAAGTACACATACATAGATCTATACACGTATTTATCATGGGACTCCTCAGACCACCCTCATTTTAAGCTAAAAAAAAATGTTTTTTGTAGATGATGGACAAAATCTCAAAATTCCTGAAAATTTAATAGAAGCAAAGACATGAGTTAAAGCATATACACAAATAATTGAGATGGATGGATACTGAGACAGAGACGATTGCAGAAGCAGAGCTGCGCAAGAGACAGAGAATTATTCTTAAACAGAAAGGAAATAAAGATAGAATTTTAGGAACATTGATTCAACAACACATGAATGATCAGTAAAAGAATAAGAGATATGAAATAACAAAAACATAGAAAGGGGAAAGTCCTAACCTGAGAAATTTCGATATCTGAGTTTTAAAGCCATGTATCCCATGACAAAAAAATAAAAGAATCAGACATTAAGACACGATAACTCAGAAACATGTAAATATTTATTTATGTATATAGAAAAAAAGAGAAAAACAAGAAGATATAAAAATGTAAGAATACTAATGCATAAAAAAAAAAGAATGTGTGAGGAAATCTACAAAAATAATCCGTTTTTTAACCAATTATTTAATAAAAAATTTTTTTTTTAGGTGCACCCTTGAAATTGAGCTTATTTTGGTCGCAATGTCATGTACTATAAAGAAAAAAATTATGAACACAGGTTTTAATAAAGGTGACACCGTTTTTCGCAATTTAAATGCGATCATTATACATAAAAATACGCATTATTTAGACAGATATGAATTTTTTAGGACCAATGTATTAGAGTGCCTTATACTTTTGTCAGAGCAAAAAGTATAACCATTTTGGAATCGTCTATTTTCAATATAAAATAAATTTTAAACCTACCAAGAGGGTAATTAGAGTTGGTCACATGGTGTATGAATGGAAGTATTTTTTTACGTTATCAAGTTTTTCGACTAACTCAAGTAATGAGGAATGTATGGTGAAAGCTTAGCTCAGAGGGTGTCAGAGCCACTTGGCTGTTTTTCTCTAAAATGCCTACTTGACGATTTAGTCAACAAAAATCGTTTCAAAATTGGCAAAAAATCGTTTTACATTATCTCATTTTTACACATTGTGCATCATACTTTGAGAAAAAAATTTTAATACGAAAGTTGTAGAACTTCTAAGAATACACTTTCTTGTATTGACCAATTTCACCTATGATACTGTTACAATACACTTATTATCAAAAAACGTTTAAAATAGTTGAAAAAGCATTTCTTAGTTTTAATTTAAAGTTAGCGTACTAATTTTAAAACTCAGTTGGATATGATAACAGAATAATATCAAAATTTAATCCTGTTATTTAAATAATAATTTTTGTTCTTACACCTCATAGATTAGTTGTGCCCTATATACAGGACTAAGTGTTTTGCATTAGCTGCTTATTTTTATATAAAACGGGACTTATTTTGAATTAGTCACATGGTGTATGTATGTATATATATGTATGTACGTAATCAAGTTTTTCGACTCAAGTAATGATTATCCAAAAGAGCTCAAATTTTGTAGATAACTTGAGGTTCAATGTTAAAGCTGATGAACTTACTGTAGAACATTCAGAATAAAAAAGCAGGTCTTTAAGGTCTCAGTTTTAATACATTTCATACGTTCGTGTTCAACGACAAAGCTGTAGATCACAATTAATCACAACATTTTTGTATTACACATTTTACTGTCTTGTAATGCAGATGCTCTGTAATGCAAAATAGAAGTAAAAACACCGAAAAAATTGTTGTTTGCATGTGAATGAAATAAGTTTAAATTCTACAACAAAGTGTTCAATAAAAAAGTTGCAAAGCTCATCGTAATAAAAATTTTTTTGTGCAATAAGTTTTCTCTGTAGTACCACCTTAATATTATTAATGGTGGAAAATGTTTCCTACCGGCTTAAAACTCATTTTCAACATCTAACTGTTCTAGATTACATTTGGGGGTAAAATTTTAAGTACAAAAGGTATAGATTTAATAAAAATACACTTTTTTTTTGTATTGATCCTTTGTGTTAATAATGAAATACTTACACTTTGAACAAAGAAATCGTTTTAAAATCCAAAAAAATCATTTTATGGTTTAAAATTTTTTAACGTGTCATTTGATGACCAAATATTTAATATAAATCTTATAGATTTTCTTCAAGTAGTCTTATTTGTGCTTGGCATTTATGTCTACAGTGCCATCTTAACATAAGATACAACGAAAAGTGTTTTGAAATGGCTGAAAAGTTGATTTGTGACATGTAATATTATTTAACATTTGGTAAAAATATAAAATTTACTTGGATATAATATAAAACTAAAAAAAGATGATCAACTGAAAGCTTATGGTTAAAATTACACTTTCTGCTCTGGAAAACCGTGGATTGTTCATGCCTTAAATGCAAGACTTTACTTTTTGCATGAATTCAGCCCGTTGTTTATATTTATATTCTGCTGTGTATTTCATAACATTTAAGATGGTAAAAAAATATAAAAACTCATGTGCATGTATATAAATGCTTTACTAAAGAACTATGACATTTGAAGTAAAAACCTTAACTGTAAAAACTTAATTTGCCGGATGATTGGTAATCTTTTACAGAAAGCCCAACAATAAGGGCCCAATAATAATTTGCGTAGAAGATATACTTAATTGTCATGTTTACCGGCTTCGAGGATCTCGAGATCGAGGTTACCGCTGTAGCTGTGACTAATGCTACTGACGTTGTAAAGGCTGGACCGCCAGTGATGATGATCCTCCATAGCCAAGGAGCCACTGCGTTTGAACTGCTCCAAAAAGTTGTCAATCTGGTTCTCGATGCTTGTTGGCGAGCCGTCCATTATGCACAATAATTTTGCACCACTATTTTCGGAGAGCTATAATGTGCCAGAAGCTTTTTTATTAATCCACTTTCACTTCACACGAGACCGTTTTACACGCGCATCACCATCGAAAAAGATTTTTTGTTAGGAGAAAAACAAATCTGTTGTGTCAAGCTAGGACAAAGGCCAATAGTTTGCTCGGACTTTCTTATCTACATTACTGACTTGATAATCGAGATCGAAGGTTTTCAAATGTGAAACGCCAAAAATACGTTGTCTTCTCCGTTACTTTGATACGCTTCTTCTTGTTTATATACCTTTGGTGATGATGTCAAATGATAAGCTCTGGTCCATTGTGTGGAGGCTGTGCATTGTTTTGTTGTACGGTTAATCTTTTTTTTCTTTTTTTTTAACTTTTTTTCCAGGCAGAGAAAGAAAAAATGGTACTTGCTAAAGAAATACTTCTTTGCTAAATACTTTTTAGTATTATTGGAGTATTTAAATACAGTATTTTTATTGTTTTCTTTTTGTTTTTATTTGTCCATTTCAGTAAGTTTCCTTTCTTGTTTCCTTTGACTACGGTAAATATAAAAATGTCTTGTTCACTGTTAATACAATATCCAACACTTATTTTTAACCTTTTATTGTTATACTACATTATCGTACAAAGATCTTTAAAGAGCATGACGAAATTTATTGCTTGATTTATTTCTTTTTTACGAAATTCCATAAACCGCAAAGTTTATCGATAAATTTTAATTACAACGGTCGTTGGCGATCGAATTATTGCTTCCAATACTTTGAATACCTCACACTAGCTAGCAACTCAAAAGTCTTACAAACTGTGAGACTGATATTATTTTACCACAAAATTATGATGTACCTACTCCCCCGTTTTTGTTATTAAAAAACTTTTCCTTCCTAGGCTTTTCTTCATTAAGCTCGCAGAATTTACTACCCATATTGCTTTCACTGTATTTATTTAAATGCCTTTGATAACTTTGGCAAATTACTCAACTTGCAGTGCAATAATCGTTCGTCCGAGGATAGGTAGTAACCGCCGGTGAAAAGCCCTGTCTTGGCCTCAGCAACCCTTTCATCACTGCTCACGAATCCCTCCAAGGACCTCTTCAGTAAAGAACTGCCCTCCGAGAATAGCTGGAAACACCGCTGTTCTCTCGTGTACAGGTTTATATCACGGGGTCGAACTGTTACGGTTTTGGTTATTATGCGACGCTACGCGGGTTATAAGGCTCGGGCAGTTAAAGTGCAAGTGTCTTCTGATTTTCACCGGCTGCAGCTACTGTCGCTGCCACGAAGATGCTCTTCTGCCACCAAAGTGCCTCGCACTCACAGTTTTACTTACAATCCGCGCCCTGAGCTCCGTGCATCCCGTCCTTTATTCTGAAGCTGTTTACGTTCGGCGAGCACGGCACATGCGTGCGGCCGAACGAGCCGACTCTGGGAAACTGCGAGGCCGTTCTGGGAGCACGAAGATGTCCAGGAGCCGGCGCCGCGCGCACCTTCGCATTTTTAGGCGCATGTATATATACACGGCACGCCTGTTTGGGGTGTAAGAGCCGGTGCGCGCGCTTTGCATATTTGCATGTGCAGTGTATGCTGCATAGGGTGGTCGGTGATTTTTAACAGTGCGGAAAAATTTTTTCAGAATTTGCTTTTTATTTCCATGATCTCGCAGGATTTTCTGTAGGAGGTAGTGCAAAAATATAATAATGGATTTTAATCAATCCAATAAAGTTTTCAATTCTAAAATGTAAATGATATTCTTATTGTTGTGAATTTTGAGATGATTTGAAACAACAGTATATTTTTATTTCGTTGTAGCGGCGTAAGATTTATCAACATTGTTGAAATTTTTCAAGGAACATTAAATGAATTAAATAATATAAGCTCTTGAAATAGCATAAGATAAATAAATAATATGTTTACCTCTTATCAAATTTCAAACCACCATGAAAATACAATTAGTGAAATTCTTAAATATGAATTGTACAAATTTATGATTTAATACTCTCCACAATTTTTTATTCAGAATTCATTGTTTTATATGCATTATTGCAGTGGCAGATGGATTAGCAGAGTAAAGCAAAGTCAAAAAAAATTTATAATAAAAAATTAGAGACAAATTTGGGGTATTTGCTGTGGATGTATTTATATTATTTCTGCTCCAACTGATGAAAGATGTGAAAATTAGGCTTATTTTAATTATTTTACTTAATTCCTTAATTTTTCATTCTATCATTGATTAAGATGTCAAACACATATCACGCTTACATTCATGGGTTACAATATCCATACTTAAATTGATCTAATAATAAGTATACGATATTCATGACTCATGGAAAATTTCGCTGCATACAAAATATAATGAATTTTTGGATTTTATATGCAGTATTTATGAGCANTAAGATGTCAAACACATATCACGCTTACATTCATGGGTTACAATATCCATACTTAAATTGATCTAATAATAAGTATACGATATTCATGACTCATGGAAAATTTCGCTGCATACAAAATATAATGAATTTTTGGATTTTATATGCAGTATTTATGAGCAATTCCACGTATAATATATACATAAGAGTTCCCAGTTTAAAAAAAAAGTAAAATCCAAGGCACATCTACGGGATACGGCTTTTTTTCTTCCTCACACTTCCAGAAACACGAGAAAACTCATGAACATGCATAAAGTAGAGGGAGACTCACTTTTTTCAGCTTTTTCGAAAATATTATGCAGAAGTAAGAAAAAACTTGATCAATGAATGAATGAGTGAACTTTTTGGCTTAAATCTTTTCTCTTTTTCAGCTTTTTACCCTATAATAAATAACTGTTTGTAAGACTTCTGCACATTTAGTTCTTAATCATACTCGTAATATTGGCTTTTATTAACTAAAACGGATTTTTTAAACAGGCCACATATTACAATAATTGTTGTAAAATTATAATTTATACACAGAATGTTACTGAACATCTACTGGTGTTAAAAATTTTGATGTAATTTAAATTCACAGTGAGTTGGAGTAATTTTAGAAAAATTGATAGAATCGTAATTGAACTATGTGATGTCTCAGCTAATATGAGCCGCAAAAATTGATAAGATCATTATTTTGGACTCTAACAGAATTTCAATTTGAGTTCTAAATAATATAATAAATATTGATTTGGTCAAAAGTTAAGGTGGTTTAAAGTAATTTTTGCATAAATCGACCAAAATTGCTTTTTATAATCTAAAGCCTAAACTTCAATGGCTTGTTTTTTCCGACGAAGTAAACATTTTAAACTAAATCAGTGCTCAAACGGAAGCTTATTTCAAGCACTTAAAAAACCTATTTGCAGAATTTATATAACTTGTAAAAAAAAAATTTATTAGCGAAAGAGTCCACTCATTTAATTATTGATCAAATTTTTTCGTACTTCTGCGTAATATTTTCGAAAAAGCTGAAAAAAAGTTAGTCTCCCTCTACTTGCCCGTTGAAAACTGTCCCATTGGCTCAAGTTTTTTTCCCTTCATAAATGTTATAGGTTCGCCCAGCGCAGACCTTGAAGAGGATCGGTGATTCCTGGTTAAATGCTTAGAGTCGAGAGGATAGTATAGGGTCGTCAGTCTACGAGTTTTCTAGCCTTGCGAAGAACAACTCCATAGGTGACGTTGTGCGTCTGCTAGTGAATGGCTGACTTGGTTTAATAGTGCCCGTCTTTAGTTAATATAGTCTTTTAGTCGACGAATCGCTTCCGGAAATGGTAGTAAAAATGTATTTATTGGCAATGTAGTTTAAACTTAGGTGGCCCTAAAAAGAACCGATGAAATTAATGGTTAAGTAGGGAACGTAAATACTTACAATGGTCCTAAAAAGCGCCAGAGGTGAGACTTCCAGCTATTCTTTACTATTATTATTTCTGATAATAAAGAGCTGGCTACGGGTAGCTTGACTCTTACCCTCCAAGTCTCTGTGAACGGAGACCGAAATGGAGGTAGGTACGTCACTAACCAAAGAAGATTTCGTCTTCGAGTCGTTTCCAAGATATCAAACCGCTCTTTGTTAGTCGGGAAAGTTGGCCTAGAAAACACCTTCTTTGTGGGTATGCTGTTGGTACGACTACTGAGAAGGTACCCGTTGTAGCTGCACGTGCTTCTCAAGGCTGTCTTCTCTGGCTCACATTTGAAGTAAAAAATTCTCTGACGGCACCACGTGGAATGGTGGGACTGCCACACAACTCTGAAGAGTTGGAGCAGATTGTACTCTGTATAGACATGTCTCCCGATATTTTACCACAGACGTAATTAGTGT